ATTATTTGCTTTTCTATTTTCATTCTCAAATTTTATGCCTATTATTCAAAGCTAAAAAAAATATATATCTTTTTTACAAATTTTCTGTCTCTGTTTCTAAAAAAATTTATCTTAAAATTTGGATTTAGTAGTTTTTTTTAGAATTGAGACATTTAGTAGTTTCTTGAAATTTTGTGTTATTATTCAATGTAATTTAAATGAAAAAGATGAATATTTTTTTAAGATGAACAAGATGAATGTTTAAAAATAAAGAAAATGAAATGAAAGATTCATTAGCAATTGTGGAAACAGTACTATATTTAGGATAAGTCAGACACTGACATCAATGTCAGTGACATTTACATATATCATAGGTACGATAGTGATTTAGAAGAAATACAAATGTTAGTTATAATGTTCACATGATGCATGCGAAGTGAAAGCAAAGGTGTGAATGAATAAAGATGGTCCATATTCAAGTGAAAACTTTCACACCAGTGTGGGTCAAGTCTCAACAACATGTGTACTAATATTATTATATTTCACATCATAGATATGAACAAGGGGTGGAGAAAATTCTTCATCAGACTTTTCTTCCACCAAACAAATTAATTGCGAGCCAGCATAAAATGATTTTTATCTTTTATATGTTAGTTTTCAAAGAGTGGCTAAAAGAAAAGAAAGAAAAAAAAGAACTTATAAGAGAAAAAGAAATAATATAAAACCATTTTCTTGTGCTGTTTAAATTCATTCTAGTAAAATATGTAACTTAGATCATAAAAATTCCGTTGCCGGGACTTGAACCCGGGTCTTCCGGGTGAGAGCCGGATATCCTGACCAACTAGACTACAACGGATGGTGATCATTGATTTCTAATTTTGGAATATCAATCATCTATAATTTTTGAGCTATAGATTAAACAGAAGCATATTCACTTATTAAGTCTTATGTTGCTATTGTCAACACTCAATTTCACATAAAACTCAAATGTATTAGATCAGATAATAGAAATGATTTTATGCTTGGAGAATTTTATAACGAAAATGGAATTAATTGTTATGTTTTATGTGTTGTCACCCTGAACAAAATGAAATAATGGAAAGAAAAAACCAACATGTTATTGATATTTTCAAAGCCCTTCTATTCCAATCAAATTTGCCCAAAACATTATGGGCACATAAACTTAGCTATGCCGTCCACATTATTTATAGTTTGTGAACACATTACTGGTTGAAAAATCTCTTTGAAATTTTAGTCAATTTTCTTCCAATATAAATTTTGTCAAAAATTTTGAATCATTATGTTTTGATTCAAATTTTCAACAATAGTAGAAAAAAAAGTTAGATTCTAGGTTAAAAAAAGTATTTACTTAAGATTTAGAACCGGTGTTTATTGAAATAATTAGGATTTTCAAAAAAGATAACAAAGAAGAAAAGAGAATAAAAAAGATTGTAAAGGAAAAATATTATTATCAATTGAAAACTGATAACTATGAATGCTATATAGAAATTATAACAACAACATATTTATAGGCAATCAAGGCCCATATCCAAAATATACCGTTATATTTTAGCTTTGACGCAACAACTATATGATATATTTGACTCTGTCGAATACGACTGACTTCTACTACTTCGACTAGGTTGAACACACATATGACAAATACAAACTTTTCTACAAAACAACGAATTACAACTTCTAACACACCACCTAATTCATGTCTAGTGAGCATATCATCTAGTTGTAATTTTGTCTTGCAATGCTCAAGTTTAAGCTTCAATTTATTTACTTGATCCCTGAGAAAATGATATGTTCTCTCTAAGTGTTAACTTCGACCATGACACATAGGATGATTGACTAGGTCAATAGCTGACTTGTTATCGACAAACAACTTCATTTTCTTAGGTTCCATGATTTTAAGCTTTTCTAGCAACATCTCTATCCATTCTGCTTGACATGTTGCATATGATGCAACCACGTACTCAGCTTCACATGATGACAAAGTCACAATACTTTATTTCCTTAAGTTCCAAGAGATTGGAGCGTATTCAATCAAGAATATGCAACCTACAATACTCTTCTTCTCGTCTTGATCTCCACTGAAATTTGAATCAGTGTAGCCATATACCTCTACATCTGTGTCGATCTTATTTTGTCTTGACATCAGCACACCATGATCAATTGTACCCTTTATGTATCTCATCACCCTCTTCACTACAATGAGATGATATTCTTGAGGTTTCTCCATGAATCTGCTCAATAATCCAACACTTTGACAAATATTTGGCCTGGTGTTGCAAAGATACCTCAAAGATCCAATGATTTATTTGTATAGTGTTAGCACTTACAAACTCATCATATGTATCTTTCTTCAACTTTGCTCCAATTTATAATGACGCGACATCTACATTACAGTTGATCGTCTTGAACCTTATCAAGATGTCTTGAGCATACTTCTTCTGGTGCAAGAACACTCCTTCCCACGTGTCTTTGAACTTGATCCCTGAGAAATATGACAGTTTTCATAGGTCGTACTTTTCAAACTCTTGCATCAGCTTCGACTTGACTCTTCTTATCTCTATTTCATCTGCAATTGTGATTAACAAATCATCTACACATTAGCATAAAATTATTCGACTGATACTGTCTGTAACATTGATATACACTATATGTTCATAGACACACTTTGTGAAACCTACTTCGATCACGAAGCTATCTATTCTCTTATTCCAAGCCCTATGAGTTTGTTTCATATAGAGTCTTCCTCAACTTGTACACCATCGACTTCTATCCTTTGATTTCAAATCCTGCTGGTTGACTGACATATACTTCTTCTTCAAAAGGTACATTCATAAATGTTGATTTTACATCTAACTGATGTATCTTCCACCCTTTGTATGTTGTTGTCAACACAACAGTCCTTATTGTCTCCAACCTTGCAACAAGTGCATAGACTTCGTCGAAATTAATATCAATTTTTGCATAAAACATCTCGCCACTATTCTTGCTTTATGCTTGGCAATTTCACCATTTGGCGTCTGTTTCAACTTGTAAACCCATTCACATCAATTGGCTTCTTGCTAGCTTTTTCGACAAGTTCCCAGGTCTTGTTCTTCTCGATTGTCCTGAATTCTTCTTTCATGGGTGCCAACCAGTTTGAATGATTCATGGCTTGGTCCAAATTGATTGGTTTTGCTTCAGCCATTATCATCTCTTCTTCTAGCAAGTCACCATCTACATCGACTGCTTGATCTGAGAATCCCTCATATCCAGCTAGCCTTGTCGACTTAGTTCTCGTTCTAATCAATCTTTTGACATTATGCTTTGGTGGTTCTTCATTTATATTGGTGGTGACTTCAGTTTGTTGATCTTCTTCAAACACAGTTGTGACTATATCTTACTTATGTCGAACTGGCCAATGACTCTAATTGCACCTTTTGCTTTCGTCCACTAGAACATCTCTATTGATCATTAATTCATCATCGTTTGGTGAATGCAACTTGTATGCATCATCCGAATGATAACCTATGAGCACCAAGGTCTGACTTCGATCATCTAGATTCTTCTTCAATTGTTCAGGAACATGACTAAAATATGTTGATCCAAAAACTATAAGATGCCTAACATTTGATTTATGTCTTGTCCAAGCCTCATAAGGTGTCTTTTCGACTATCTTCTTCGTTGGACATCTGTTTAGAATTGTATACTGATGTCGAAGTTGTTTCACCCTAAAATCTCTTTGGCATATTATTAGCTTTCAACATACTTCTCGTCATGTTCAGTATACTTTTGTTTTTTTCATTCAGCTATACCATGTGTTGAGGTGTATAGGGTGCAATGACCTCATGCTCTATACCTTCTTCATTGCGAAATCTAGCTAATTTTCGAAAAATATATTCACCACTAACATCAGTTCTCTGTTTTTTCAACTTGCATCCACTTTGTTTCTCGACGTGCAATTTAAACTTCTTGAAATGTGTGAATACTTCACTATTCTTTTCGATCAAATAAATCCACATATATCTGATTAATTCATCTATAAAAGTTAGGAAATAACAGTTACTACCATTCGACATTACTTCAAAAGGTCCATACATTAGAGTGAACTAACTCCAATTTTTCCTTCGGCCTTATGGGCATGTCATGTTTAAATGCTTTCCTAGCATTTATATAAGAAATGTTAACTGAAAAATTAACTAGCTTAGCATCTAACTACTGTAACTAATTCCATTAGTTTTTCATTGCAAACGGTAATTCTGTTAGTTTTTCATTACAACTGATAAACTCTTGGCTTGCCTTTATTTGCTTCTAACTTGGCTGGCTTGTATTAATATACTTCTAACAAACAATATGACACATGCTTAAAAGTTAATAGATAAATCTACAATTACTTATTAGCCAATTCATACACGATTCTACATTCACTATCGAACACAAGAATCTTTCTTTCATAAGTAGATTCAAAAACTAATCATAAGTCAAACGAAATGACTTGTTGCACGTTTGGAAAATTCCACTTCCACGGTGTATCAACACACAATTACATAGAAGTCACAACTTATAACTTCGTAAAGCCATGGTCACTTCACATCTAACAGAAGATCTTGTTTGATTTTTTCCAATGTTTGTTGGAAATTTATACAGACTTACTCTTACTTATATGAATTTTATAAGCCATGCACTTTTAATTGTGAAAAAGAAAACAATACTTCAATGTTTCACCTGTTATTAAAATAATAGTAGTTTTGGAAGATTCATGTACACACCATAAGATTTATTCTCAGTATACATCAATTAAAAATATATATCAAATAAGAAGGGATACAAACGTACTATTTCCTCTCAACTTCTGTATAAGACATATTTCTTGAGCTGGATTACCTTCACAAACAAAATGCAACCTTTTTTTACCTATATTGAATTTGTTATATACGTATGTTCAATTGTTTTTGATATACCATCGAAATCGCTTTCAACTGTTTTTTTGCTTTTGAATATTCACCTTTGCATTTGCATTTGCATTATAAATAGAGAGACGGCGATTTTTTTAACAGAAGGATTGCCGCAATTATCAGCACCCCTACAGTGCACACCAATGCCTGCAAGTTTATCACCAAGACAATTTACATCACTCAAGCAAAGTGAAAAACCAAAAAATGAAATGTATAACAAAATACAACAACTAAAGCATAATTTATTTTCATAAAATGTGTGCTTGATCCATGGAAACGTGGTTTTTAAATGGAGTTACTAAAGCATCCTGTTTATTTTAACTCGACCAACTTGGTCCCTGATCACTTATTATAGTGCACGATGTTAACATTTGTGAATGCAAACATTAGCAAATAGATAGACACACAAATAGTCAGGAATGGAGCGGAAAGAAAGGGAAGAGAGATTACAGCAATTGCAGAGGCTCCTAGCCCGGCCCGTTCTCTAGGGTCCTTCCGATAATAATTGCCAAAATAAAGAATTGTTGCATAGAACCACATAGGAGGGCAAAGAAATCCAAAAAGAAATCTGCAATTTAACAAACATTAAAAATTTGTAATTTAACATAGCAGCGAGACAACACCAGGAAATGGGGAAGGAAGGTAGTTTGATTAAAATTACTTACGAGAACCATCCAATTCCGCATCCAAAACATGGGAGGGGCTTATCATAAATTCCTGTCTGGAAGTCCTCTGGATCTCTAATTAAGCCATACTTTCCCTTTCCATGAGCCATTGCATCCACTGCTTGTCCTGCCATGACAAAAAAATTGCAGGTATTTATTTTAAGGGGTGAACAAAGAACATAGTTAAATTTAAGCGACAATTTTTTGATAATAAAATGAAAATTGGATTTGTATTGTTGCACTTAATGAGTTAATACTGCACATTATCACTAAACTGGTTATCCAACCCTGTCATGGACCTTGTCTTTTCAAGGAGGAGGAGTTTATTAGCATAATACTCATAGTACATGATAGAGTAAGTTGTTTAATTTCTAGTAAGACATGTCATGACCCTAAGATCAAATGCTCAAATGACAAAGGGTGGAGGGATTCAACTATTCAATATAGTGAAATTCAACATAGTGCCACTGGAAATGACATGTAGAACACAGAAAAGTTCCCTTCATCAATTATACAAAGAGGAGCTTGATCTATATGATGTCGCAATCGCAAATGAGAATGACCAAGCAACATGCTCAAGGAATAGCTGCTAACTTTGTACCATGTTTGAACAATTAGGTTAGCTATAAACTATTCAGCAACATATATCCTCTCCCTAAATAGAAAAGAGAAGGATAATTACGAGTAATTGGGTAGGAGCCATTAACATACTATTTGTTGCTCCGCAATAGACCAAATTTGATTAAATAGTTTTGATAATACTGAATCATAAAAGTAATTATTGAAATAGTGATCTCTGTGTCTAGATTACACTCATTTCAATTATAATAGCATATAGAATATATACAATAACTACATAGTTATATGATTTCCTAATTCAAATCCTAATCCATAATTATCATCCTAATAATGAACATTAGGATTTAAAATTAAGGCGTACAAAGCTTGTTAGAATGGGTGGATGTAATGTAAAAAAATAGAAACAGTAATTGCACAGAACAAGACAAAAGCATGACAAAAACATCTACCAGATGAGAAGAACTAATAACTGGTCACAACAGAATCAAGCTATGGCAGATCCTTATACAGGAGAGAGAAGAGGAGGTTCATTAGCCAAATACTGTTGGAAGCTGTTGCCGAAAAAATTCTTGAGTAGTGGCAACAGTAGATGACTAAGTGGAAACTGTGATCAGAAGAGACGAAAACCGAAGATATAATAGGAGGTTCACAGAAAATAGATGCAGAAGATGAAAAATTGACGAAAAGTGGCAGATGCTATGTTGAACATTACACAAGTCACATTAATAGAACTTGCTTTGATATCATGCTGAAATTGTGACCTGTGTCAAAAAATCAAATCACACTCACCCATATTTATAATAACAATATAGAATAAATATAATAAATGCTTGTTAATTGATATGATTTGCTAACTCAAATCCTAATCTATGATTTTAATTCTAAGAGTAACAAGGCAGCTTGGTAGAGGGACATGGGAATTGGAGTCATAAAGAGGTCATGAGTTCAACTTCCTCCCCTGACAAAATAACATCTAACAACAAACATTTGACATTTAAAAATAAAACAAAAGAGGTTTGATTAGTTAAGTAGAAAAATGATATGACACATGATTACTATTGTTACCTCTTGAATTACTCCGAGCAAAGGGTCTTAAAAGATCAAAATGCTTAGCAGAAACGTCTCTTACCAATTCCACCCCTTTTCTTAAACCAACATTCTCTTCACCCCTACCATCTGCTACAACAAAGGAATCCCATTAGAAAATGCTTTTCGGATATGCATCTCGCCAACTCCACTCTTGCTCAAACTAGGTGATAAGCTTGTAGACTATGTAGACTAGACTACACTCGTGATTGATTACCATCATTTTTTCAGTATATGTTGCTTTAATACATTTCCTCTCATCACAATCTAGCCATAAGGAATATATTATATTACAAACTCTTACACTTTTTCAGCATTTTGTTTATAGCTTGTCAAATGTAAACAACAGCCAGGATTCTAACCTAGTAGCTAAATCATCCAAATAATGATAAACTTGAAATCACGGAGATCAGATGCTGTTTAACATTCAAATTTCCTCTTCATATCACACTGATGCTAACAAATTTTTTGTTGAATACATTATTATAAGCAAGAAGGATCTTACTAACTACGAAAATGTTTCAGTTTCAGTACCTTTATCCATTGATTTTGTAGTTAATTGACACACTAAGCCTGCAGTCAAAAAACCACTCAGAAATTCCTGTTAATAAAAAGATCAATTATGAGACCAGCATGTTTCCACTGAGAAATCAACCTCTAGGTTAAGCCAACAAGAAAATCTTCCGAATTGGTTAGTTGATTAATTAATTAATTAAAATACTAATCATGATTTGTATTGTACTGTACTGTATTGATAATCCAAATTGGAAATCAACCTCTAGGTTAAACTAATAAGAAAAATCTCCCAATTCAGGTCACAAGAATCACACTAAAATTGCCACAAAAAAAGTAACAAAAATCTAGAAATCTACCACAATCATCAAAGAAAACAATGAAATTAAAACGGAACAAACAAATTAGGAAGGGAAAAAAAGCTTAAAATGAAAGAGAAACTTGCCTTGGAAGAAGATGAAGGCGATGGGAAGAAAGTGAAGAAAATTGAAAGCTTAATTTCTAATTCATATGCAATTCGTAAAACCGAAATTCAAAGCTTAATAGTAAAACTACTGAGGTGACTCTGTTTTTGTTGCCTCTGGTGTCCGTTCTCTTTACGTCTTAATTATTCTAACTAAACAACTCTACTTATAGTTATTACTTTTTATTTTTCTGAGTTAAATTTTTTCTTTTGTCTCTATAAAATTAGTAATAATTTTGTTTTTTCTTCTTATAAAAAATTGAATGTTGTCTTTACCGTAGACATCCTTCTAATTAAATTAATGTGAGTTTTTAAATAATTATTTTATAAATATGTTTAGAATATTATAAAAAAAATTCTAAAAAAAGAAATGTAATTTTTAATTTTTAAATCAAAATTTTTATTTATTTTATCAATATCTTTTAAAATTTTAAAAAATTATATTTAATTTTCTCATTTTAAAAAAATTTAAAATTTGATAAATAAATATATTATAATATTCTAAATATGTATGAATAAAACTATTTAAAAATTTAAAAATTTAAAAGTAATTAAATAATTTTTAAAATTTTAGAAAATAACAAAGATTAAAGTTGAATGTATAAAAATTTTATAAGAATTAAAATATTTTTTTTATAGGGACTGAAAATAAAAATTAAAATATTTATATGAATAAAAAATATTTAACCCTTATTTTTTTAGGAATTAATTGCATGATAAGAGATTTTTTTAAATTTAAATGTATTAATGTTAATGTGAATAATTGAGATTTTTTTTTGTAAAGAATTAGTTGAGATTTATGAATGTATTGTGGGTACAGCTTGCAATTTTTTTGTTACAACGACTTGTCCTATATGGTTGGTGCAAGAATTAAATAGTTGTTTGTATTTTTTTTATTTAGAAAAAAGATGGAAAATAATTGAATTTAAATTGTAACGGACTTATTTGACTGAGTTTTTTATTTTATTTTATTGATAATAGTCTCTTTTGATTGCTATGCGGCTGGGTATGGAATTGGATTTAATTGACTTTGGCATCTTATTTTTGTTGGATGATTTTATAATGAGAAAAATAATATTGAATATTAAATGTTTTTCTGAAAGAAAAAAAGAAAAAAGAGTGCTAATTGCCACCGGCATTGACTGCTGCTACTTGGTTTGCCTTGTGGGCAAAGGGCCAAAATGAAACAATGGGTCATGCGGAAATTTTAGGGATTTTCTTATTACATATCTCATCTTTAAAAGAAAGATATTTTATAATTTTAAAATTGTTTTTCGAAAATCGAAAATATATTTCCGATTCGTATCATATATTTTATAAAAATAGATTAAATATAGTTTTATCCTTCAATAAAATGTAAAAATAAAATCAGAGATATATTTTTGCTTCTATACTGGTATTATGTTTTCGGTTTTTAAAACTCGAAGATTGATTTTTTCTGTCACCTTATCATTTCGTATATAACTTGAAAGTATATTTCCGTTATTATGGAAAATTCATAATGCTTAAAACAGTAACCAACATAGTCAACTTTGATCAAACCATTTCTTCTTCTTTCCATAAAATCTCTCAAAAACCCTTTTATTTGTGAAATCAAGCTTCTCAAATAAGCTTTTGTTTTGATGAAGACAAACCATAGCTAACAAAGAAGGCAAAGACTTTGGTCAAGCATCTAAGCATCTAAGGATAATATCTTCAATCAAAGCTCTCAACAACTTTAAAGGTATAATAATATTATCTACTTTGATCTTAAGATATAGATGCTCAAAAATGAAAAAGAAATGTTTAAGAATCATTCTCAAGCTTTTCAAAGATTAAATTTCACTTTTCATATGCATGCAATCGATTTACATCTCAGTGCAATCGATTGCACTCTTCAAAAATTCCAAATCTTTTGCTTTTGTTTCTTCATGCAATCGATTACATAGTTTGTACAATCGATTGCACTCTTAAAATTTTCAAAACGTTTTGGTTTTGTCTTAGCATGCAATCGATTACATAGTTGGTGCAATCGATTGCACTCAGTTAAATTTTGCTACTGACTTAGCATGCAATCGACTACATTGTTGATGTAATCGATTGCACTCTTAAAATTTTAAAAATATAGTTGTTGAAAATCTTGTGCAATCGATTACACTAAAGGTGCAATAGATTACACACTGCACGAATTTGAAAAATTACAGCTTTGTTCATGCCTTTTGATCATGCCTTTTCATTACATCTTTTCACTCAAACTTGGCATTTGTTCATGATACATTTCCAGATCTTCATGATGTTTCAAAAGGGTGTTATGAACATATAAATATTCAATTTCAAATTCATATCTAACACCTTCTTTCATAATATTTTTCTGAACTTTCAAAATACAAACTCAAGCATTCTTCATTTTCAAGCATAAGTTTTCTGCATTTATTTCCATACTTTAAACAGAAAACTTTGAGCAAATATATCTTGGGTCTTTGTACAATATTATTATCGAAAGAAGAAGATTATACATTGTCAAAATCACTCTTAGTGATCAATATACTCTACTCACTCAAACTCACAAATTGATATTTACTTACTTATTTTCCAGGATTGTTGGAATTAAGTTTAAGTGTTTTTGTTGAAATCTTATCTTTCCAAGTTGTTGGATACAAGTGTAGTTACATTGAGAGGATTGTTCTCATAGGTAACTTAGTAAAAATCCAAGAGGATTGTTCTTGGTCCAAGAGGATCGTTCTTGGTTTGGTTGATAGTTCTTATGTAAGTTTGCCACAATAAGGAAATCTCTTTCATGTTAAAAGGGGACTGAAGTACTCTCGGACTGTAAGGGGAACCAGGATATATCGCCCGTGTCTCTTTATTTTTCCGCACCTTTAAGCTTTCCTAAAGACACTTATAACCAGAAAAATAAGAACCATCGTCACTAAAAACCAGAATTTTTAAAAAGTACCTAATTCACCCCCCCCCCCCCTCTTAGGCGCACTTCGTACTTACAATTGGTATCAGAGCAGGTTATAGGTAACCTGCTCCTAAAAGATCCAGAATGGCTTCCGCAAATCATAATCCTGTTTTCAGAGATGGTGGTAGTAACAACAAGCCTCCTCTATTTTGTGGTGAATATTTTGACTTCTGGAAAATATGTATGAAGGTGCATCTAGAAGCACAAGGAGAAGAAATATGGGATGCCGTCGAAAATAGTCCATTTATCCCGATAACGGTAATCAATGGTGTTGGCTCATCAAAGCCTAAAACTGCATGGGACGATGATGATAAGAAGAAAATTCTCTATGACAAAAAGGCAATAAACCTTCTTCAAGGTGCACTTAGCATGGGCGAATTCTTTCGTGTCTCGACATGCAAAACAACAAAGGAAATATGGGATACCTTGGTACAAACTCATGAAGGAACGACTGAAGTAAAAAGATTGAGACTAAATACCCTAAGTCAAGAATATGAACTATTTCGAATGCAGCCCGGAGAAACCATTCTTGACTTACAAAAGAGATTTGTGCACTTGACAAATCATCTAAGTGCTCTTGGTAAAACTTTGACGAATGATGAATTGAATCTGAAAGTACTTAGGTCCTTAAATAGGGAATGGAAACCGAAGGTAACGACAATTTCAGAAAAGAAAAGTCTCTCCAACATGACATCCGCAACATTATTTGGAAAACTTCAAGAATACGAAACGGAACTCGGAATACTCAAAAAGCATGAAAATCAAGAGAAGAAATCCAAGAATATTGCTTTGAAGATAGACTCCAAGGAAGTTGAAAAGGAAAACAATCCAGAAGAAGATGAAAACTTCATGCTACTTGTTAAAAGGCTTGGTAAGTTCTTCGGTAGAAATGACAAACCTTTTTCTCATTCAAAAGGAAAGAAACATTTTCAGAAAAAGGAAGGCTCTACATCAACACAAGAAATCACATGTTATGAATGTGGTAAGCAAGGTCATATCAAGCCGGATTGTCCAAAACTCTCCAAGAAAGGTGGCTTTAAAAGCAAGAAAGGATTCAAGAACAAAAAGACTTATGTCGCATGGGAGGACAATGAAATAAGTTCCTCATCCGATTCTGATAGTGATGAAAGTGCAAATCTAGCATTGATGGCCTCACACCATTCCGATGATGAAGATAATGAGGTTAGTAATGAATTTTCTCTTTTTGATAGTGATGCACAAGGTGCTATAGATGAACTATTAAATGAATGCAAAATTCTGTATAAAACCATTTCATCACAAAAGAAACAAATTTCATCCTTAGAAGAAAAATATGTTTCAATGGAAAAAGATTTCAAAGAAGAAAAACAAAAAACAAGTGATGAACAAATACAGAATTTTGTATGCAAAAATTGTGATTCACTCTCTTTCCAAATTGTCCAATTAAAAAGAGTCATTGAAAGATATGAAAAAGGGAAAATTGGATTGGAATGTGTTCTTAGCCAACAAAGATACTCCAATGATAAAAGTGGACTTGGATATTCAAAGTTCTCAAAACCAAGTTCTAACAAAACTATCTTTGTTAAGGCAAGTGATCAATCTTCCAAAGAGAAAGTGAACAAACCTAAAATAGTTCGTCACTATCCGAAAAAGAAAACATTTCCTAAGAAGAAATCTTATCCTTCTAGATATAGAAGTAAATTTGAACCTACTTGTTTTTATTGTGGTATTAAAGGCCATACACCTAATGCTTGCTATGTTAGAAACTTCAGTGTGGTAAGTGGGCATTATGTATGGGTAAAGAAAGGCACTAATTATGAAGGACCCAAAGCAACTTGGGTACCTAACAAAACCTAATTTGTTTTGCAGGTATGCTTGAAGACCACATGCAATCTTTGGTATCTTGATAGTGGTTGTTCAAAGCATATTACAGGAGACATAAACCAATTTTCACATCTAGCGCTAAAGGCCAAGGGTTTTGTCACTTATGGAGACAATAATAAGGGAATAATCATAGGCAAAGGCAAAGTTGGTGCTCCACCTTTCACATCCATTGAAGATGTTCTTTATGTTGAAGGACTAAAGCACAATCTTCTAAGTATTAGCCAACTTTGTGACAAAGGCTTCAAAATCAAGTTCACCAAGGATGAATGTTTGATAGAAGACGAAGTCACTCATGAGGTTATACTTAAAGGTAAAAGAATCAATAATATATTTATGATTTACCTTGATGATCCATCTTTGAAGGTTAAATGTCTTATGGCGAACAACGATGATTCATGGATTTGGCACAAAAGAATTGCTCATATTCATATGGAACACTTGAATAAATTAATCAAGCATGATCTTGTCATTCGATTGCCTAAGAGAAATTTCGTCAAAGATAGACTATGCGATGCTTGTCAAAAAGGGAAACAAACTAGATCAACTTTCAAATCTAAGAATGTGGTGTCCACTACAAGGCCACTACAATTGTTACATATGGATCTATTTGGTCCATCGAGAACAAGGAGTTTCTTAGGTAATGTATATGCTTTGGTTATTGTTGACGATTTCTCTAGATATACTTGGACATTCTTTTTAGTACAGAAAAGTGATGCATTCAAGGAGTTAAAGAAGTATTCTAAACAAATTCAAAATGAGAAATCTCTAACAATTGCCTCAATAAGAAGTGACCATGGCGGAGAATTCCAAAATGCTCTATTTGAAGAATTTTGTGGAGAACATGGAATATCTCACAACTTCTCGGCACCAAGGACTCCACAACAAAATGGAGTGATTTAAAGAAATAATATGTCTCTTGTGGAACCTGCTAGAACCATGCTTAGCGACTCAAACCTTCCAAAATACTTTTGGGCGGATGCGGTAAGCACGATATGTTTTGTTAGCAATAGAGTTAACATTATACCAATCTTAAAGAAAACTCCATATGAACTTTTCAAAAGGAGAAAACCAAATATTGCTTTCTTTCATATCTTTGGGTGCAAATGCTTTGTCCTAAACAATGACAAAGATAATTTGGGTAAGTTTGATGAGAAATTCGATGAAGGTATATTCCTTGGTTACTCACTTTCTAGTAAAACATATAGAATATACAACAAAAGAACTTTGACTATTGGAGAATCTATGCATGTTTCTTTTGATGAAACTAACCCCTCCAAGGAGGATAATATTGTTTGTGATAATGATGATGAAATTTTAGAAGGTCCTCAAGAAAATTCTTCAAAGGATCAACCCATTCAACTAAAAGAATCACCTCAACAAGAATCGAATCTCAATGATCTACCAAAAGAATGGAGAACTCATAGAGATCATCCTATTGATAAAGTGATTGGTGATATAAGTCAAGGCGTGTCTACAAGATTAAATCTTGATAACGAGAAATCGTATCGTATAATTGTTACGTTTTTAGTCCGTTTTCATACTGCATTAATCCATTTAACTCCCGATTGTTCTGAGTTTTTATGTCTTTTCACAGGTACAACATGTCTCAAGTCAATTTAGTGGAAAAAGATCATATGAAGAAAGTTAACATGAAAACCAGAAGAAAAGGAACAATTCTGCAAAGTTCTGCAGTTTTTGATGTTGTGACGGTCGTCACACATCACTGACGAACGTAACGCGCTGCTAAGCGTCTT